GTTTTGGACACGGCCTAAGACCACACAGACCAGAACAAGTTTGCTGTGGAGTTGTACTGCCTGCAAATGGTTACCATTAACCCTTTGTCTGCTAAATGTATTTGACAAGCAAGCAGCCCCATCACCACACAGCTCAGAAGGGCAGGAGGTTACTGACCATTGCAGAGGATAGCTCGGCTGAGACCCAAGGCATCGGCTGTGGAGGAGCTCATGTTCTCCACCATGCGGTGCTTGACCTTCTTCAAGACGATGTCGAGTGACTTGCCCTGCTTCGGGTCAGCATGCAACTTGTTGTAGTTGATGATTACCTCTGACTAGAACACAACAGAAGGAGGAGTATAGTACATGTAAGAGCAACTTTTCTAAACTACCAGGGTAACCATGGCTATGGTAGACACATTCCTACCACTGCACAGTGCTTACTTACACTCTCAAATCCCCCAGTGCTTTCTTTTGCTCCATTTTGTGCATAAAGTCATGATATCTAATTTAATCTTAACCAAGTACATGTGCGTATGCCTCAGAAGATGTCAAACCAAATATCAAATGATTTGAGCAGATTTAAGACTGGGCCAACTGGACTTCCTATGGAAGCAGCACTGGAAAACTGGATCCCTGTCAGACCATACAAGCACCATGGTACACTTTATTATCATAACAAAACTCAACACAACTGCTTGATGGATCTCAATGGGCTGATTACAATACAAAGTGTGTACCAATGGATGAGACAGTCTTAACATTTTGCTCTGCAAGTACTGAGCACCTTTTAAGTATTCAACAGGTCGAAATACATGTACATGTTTTGCTTTTCCTGCTAAGCACGGGGCACTATTATATCAATTCCTCCACCTCCACTGACACTTTCTAGGTAACCTCTTTGCATTCCTGCTTACCTTGATGGACTGTATCATGCGAGCCACCTCTACTTTTGTCCTTCCTTTCACTGACTTCCCACTGACCCCAACGATCTCATCGCCTGATGCCAAAGTCCCGTCCCTTGATGCCGGAGTATTATCAAACACCTGGAGATGCCGTAGGTCGGTCAGAAATAATTATGTAACCAGATTTAACACTAAAAATGACAGAAAACTGCAAATGTTCTAAGAAATTAGAGCAAGAGTTGTTTTTCTTTCAATGTTTCCAAATTTGTACTTCCAGATACGAAAGTTCAAGTTTGAATAAAATTAAAAAGATTTAAACATTCTGAAAATAAAATACGATACATTTTTCACATCATTTTAAACTTTTTTAACACATTTCTGTGAAAAAACTTCCAGCAATCTTACACGATAAACTGTTGATAAAGCGCACACTCCTGAAGTTGCTAATGGTAATGAATTTTTTGCTCCAATTTCTTCAAAAAAGATAAAGGAGTTTGACTTACGTCTACAAATATTAAGTTGAGGTTGAATTGGTGGGATATGCATGTAATACCAACCTGCACTATGTACAGACAGGGGCAGAGTGGTGCCCCGCCTCCTATGCTTATACCAATCAAGTTCTGCTTGTCTTTGATCAGGCTGACATTGCCAGGAATGGCTTCCATCCCCCTGCAATCCAAAACAGGACAGAGAAAACAATCTGGAGATTAATCCCTACTAGTTTACATAAAACGCAACACCAAAGCATCCCGCATTTGATGCAATAAAGTGTAACCCTAAATGTGTACATGCATAGATTTGGCTAAAATATAAGCATGGCTAGACCTCATAAAAATGTTTGTTACCGCGTAATATGAGGAGACCTAGTCCCATCAACCCTAGCAACCCTAAATACCGGTACTTTAAAATGCTCTGATTGGTTTCGGAGGATTTTAGAGGATTTAGGATGAATGGCAAAAAAAGTGTGGCTGACAGCAAAGGATGCATTGTGTCAAGGTCTTGAATTAGACCATGTGTTGTTTATGCTCAGCCATGCATAAATTCATGTCACAACTACAGTACTGCTCCGGGATACCAATTGCATTGCCTCAACATGACAGGAACTGCTGGACGATATTGAAGGATTGAGGCAGTGTTCGGTCATTCCTCCAAGAACATACATGTCCATGTATTCAAGACGAGTATGTAATGTACATGTATTCAAGATGACATGTGTTCCAGAAGGATTTGGATGACTGAGGATGGATGCATTTTTTGGCAGGGCTAGTGGAGTATTTTGAAAGATTTGGGATGTGCCCCAGAAAAACGGGCCTAGGAGTAAGAGTTGTGCATTTACATGCAAAGTTAGGAGTAGGACCAAGCTGTAATGTTCACTATTACACGTGTACATGCATGTACATGTAGGTACATGTGTAAGTAATCATGTTAAGTGAGTTTGTATTAATGAGAATCCACTCTATTCTTGTCATAATTTCAATCCATGAGAACGGTTCACATGATGCATTTTAGAGTATTATTCTTTGTACTGCTTTCGGTGAAAGAGTTCAAATAAACCCTGAGTACAAGCATGGTACAAGGTGCATGTACATGTACACGTACTTGTATACATGTACACTTGAGTGTTGCTTCCTTGGACTCAATGCAACTCTTCACTGTACTCTCCCACATGAAGTGTGTCGTGTTGGCTGGAGTTAACACTCATGCTCCTTGAACCAGCTTTTCCATCTATGTTTGTACAGATGCCTTCCGGTGTAATTTCCAGCCGACGCCAAATAAGTTGGACGTGAACTATACATGTACGTGTATATGAATTATTCCCTTTAGTGTCACCATTTTGTGGCAAATGATTCAGTTCCAGAACATCGGGGGGGGGGACCTTGCTGCAATCTGCAAGTCACTGCCTGACATCCAGGCTCATATTGAGCAAGGTTATCTGGGACGCTGCGGGGTGCACCCCTGTCAACAACTTTTCTGGGTGGGGGAACTTCCATCAATGTAGGGGAGGTCTGCTTTGAGTGAAAATTTCTCCAAAATTCATTGGTCAACCCGCTAAAAACCGAAAGGAAAAGGAGCAAGGACGTGATGAACATCATTTTTCTGTGCAGCCTGAACACCTACGAGAGTGGTATTTTTAAAATACATGTAATTCTAAAGTATGGGGATTTATCACAGGTGTTTTGGGGAATTCATTTATTGGGGTGCACCCTGTGGGACCATGAGGAAAATAAAACACAAGTGGGACAGACAATGCATTTACCCGTACAGGAAAGATGAATTTAAAGCCACTGTACAAATACCAGCACGTAGGCTTCATGATACACAATACAGCCATTATACATGTACATGTATGACCATATGGTGCAGTCACTGTTGTACGTTGCACTACAAAATTGCCTGCATATTTTGGGAGGCAGATACATACATGTATGGTAGTATAGCTGTAGACATCAGCTGTAGACATCATGTATTACCAGTGTACCAGTATACACATGAACTTCAATTACATGTGTGCGTATGATGTACATTGTACGTGCACTTCTCCAAAAAGAGTTCAGAACTTCAACATGGTGCTGGGTATAATTTACGTACCTCTGATCACAAGGATCGATATCAAGCTGTCCATGATACAATAGGGAGAATAAAAAGGTCTCTCCTGTAAATTCCATCCAGTAAGGTAATCAATACAGACAGTGTTTATGAGCTGCCCTGTCCCAGACCATAACCACTATCTCATATATCAACTAAACTTGGCCATGGACCATATGCTCTGTGTCAAATGTCCAATGTACATGTATGCCGATAACATAAGGTACATGTAGCAGACTGCAGTGTTATACCAGTAGGTGGGGACTTGCAGGTAACTTGGGGTTCTTTGCACTCCCACTGTACATGTCCATTATCACAGAATACATGTATGTAAATACATGTACATTATACCACAGATTAACTTGGTTTTTATTTGTTCACATCTGAAATAGAGTTCAAAGTCCTCTACTTCACCACAAGTCCAAAGTGCTCTTGGACCATCATTTTTAAAAAAAATTACAAAAGCAAAAAATGGAATCTTTGTTGTGGATTGTTCGTTCTTTAATGTGTAGCTGCAATGAATTTTTCCTCAACACAATTTTTCTGCATCTTTGTACTTTCCTTCAATGTATGAAAACTCTTCCACACTCCTATTTGGTTAAATGCACTGAAAAGTGCACACTTTTAAACCATCAAAATTATCCATGTTTTCCTGAACAACTGAGGGCGCTGTTGCTGTGAAGTCATCTAGGGAAGACATGGTTCAGTGCATAGGTACTTCTGTTCAAATTGTGAACCCAGAATTTACTAACTGCTGACATTTCTGAGAGCGGGATTGATGGTTTCTTATTGCTATGCACATAAACAACCACGTCATTTGGTCACAGGACAAGTCAAGTCAAGTCAAGTTGGTCTAAACACAAGTCAAGTCACAAATCTCTTTATCCAAGACTTCCAAGTACGAGTCAAGCTGCACATTATTTTGTCCAGCTGTAATCAGCAAAAAGAACTAGACGTCAACTTAGGAAGTTATGAGTTAATAAAATATATGGGGTCGATCAAGTAGCGTCTGACTTGGGTCGGTAACAAGTCATTTTTTGCAAGTCCAAGTCAAGTCACAAGTCAAATCTAGTATTCACAAGTCAAGTCACAAGTCACAAAAATAGTGACTCGAGTGCAACTCGAGTCCAAGTCACGAGAGTCAGCAACTCTGCCCTGCACTAAACTTTGTCCAGTGCCAACTTGATGAATGTCCTTCTATGTCAACGAAGATGGGCATGCCTCAAGTCAGCATTTGCCAAAGTTCAGGTAGTGGATAAGGTTGGAATATGTACATGTACAAATATCACACTAACAACTTTTCATGGGCAAGATACCAATCCTCCATTGAATTAATTCACTGGAATATTGTCACAATCACCGCAAGGAGCTTATCCCTTTGGCACCCCATATCAGAGTTCACTGCAAAACTTGTCCCTTTAGCACCCCATATCAGAGTTCACTGCAAAACTTGTCCCTTTAGCACCCCATATCAGGGTTCCAGCTTTTTTGTCATCATTGCAGCAAATACTTACAAACTTTGTCTATTATCCTGAGCAATTGGCTATAAAAAAAGTTGTACTAACCCTAACCGCCAAGCATATTGTTTGGCTTACACTACACAGTACTACAAAATACTAAGTAGTAGTCTGAGCCTGAAGGACCTAGCGCTACAAATTACTACTTCTGGCTAGGTTACTTCCATTGTTACTTGTACAGAGAACAATAAAGCCATGCATTCATAGTGCCACAGCACTGTATGGTACATTGTCTTATCTATTGTATCTTATGGCTTCACAGAACGATAAACTCATGTCCTCTTACAAGCGAAAGCGCTCAGTACTACATTTTACTACAAGTAGTAATTTGTAGTATTATGTAGGGTTAGGGCTAAGCACTGCAGAAATGATTATAGCACCCGGGCTATTGTGTATTTATTTAAACCTTGCAGGAGCTCTGGTACCCTGCCACATTCAAAATGACAGATACAGAAAGACCAAGGGTCATGTGCAGCAACAGTGGCCACACAGCCACAAGAACATGTGTTCAGTGTAACAGCTTTGTTTCCGGAGTTTGGGCTCTTTGGATCTTACAGTCATTAGGAGACATTCTAAAAGGTAGTTTGTAACATCTCTTCCCCCTGGGCCGGGGCCCTGGCTTCCAGTTTGCTTTTCATTCCTGGGCTATCTTTACTTTAAAGGGTAGCTGCAATGTTATTTTTTATGCAAACCTCAAAAATGCACCTACATGTACATCTACGGTACATCAACGGTTTTTGTTTCACTGTTTTGAAGGGTGTTTAGTGCCTTTTTGGTTTTTATGCATATGAAAATCTCTATATTCATGAGCAAAACTGTGATGTCATTCCAGAAAGAGAATGTCAGTGTTGCATTACTTTGTTAAACTGTCATTTTTCTAGATATTGCTGGCCTCAATTTTCTTTTCTTTGGCGATTTCTTGTTGTGTACATATAAGTACATGTGCGGTACCTAGCATTAGCATGCAACCCTCTCTCAGAAATGTTTTTAGTTTGGGTTCACAATCTGAACAGAAACTTTGGCCTGTGCACTAAATCATGTCCTCTTTGGGTAACATCACAGTCACACCAACAGCGCCCTCAGTTGTCCAGGAGAGCATGAGAAGTTTCAAATGTTTCAACAATTGCACTTTTCAATGCATTTGACCGAAAAGGATTGTCAAATAAGTTGCAGGAAAATGAGAGATCTACCCTGTATGAAACATTCACTGTGGATACACTTTAGTACATACATGTATGTACATGTACAGAACACCTCTCTTGGCATCATAGAGTGTTTTCAAAATGAGTGGATTTGGCTTAAACTTCGGTTTTGCTGGTTCCAGTCAGAGCTTGACCATGTAGTTTTGAATGCTGCTTCAAAATGGCTCGAACCAGCAAATCCAAAGTCTAAGCCCAATCCACTCGTTTCGAAAACGGTCATAATAGTAGAGAACCTGACCCTCTTTAATAGCTAAATATGGACAGAAACTCACATTTTCTTTTTATGTCCTCCCAAAAATGATTAAAATGTTGCAGCGCAAAGACTAACCAGGCTGTAAATGACTAATCAGGCTGCAAAGGTCACTTCTGGACTGATACACAAGCTCTATTCTATGACAAGAGTTCCATGCACAGACATCACTAAGATTTCCTTGCAGTGGTACATGTGAATCAGTCCTCGGCAAAGGATAACATATCCTAAAATGTCAAATTTAGAGGGGAAATTATTGAAGCCTTGACTAAGAAAACAAAATTTTTCAGACCCATCTCGGGAAGAGTTCCATATACAACAGTTGATGTCCCTGTGCACAAACCAGTGAGACTCGTCCGAAAGAAAAGTGTTTTCTAGGTAAATGCTTTGGAATTTTCTTCGCTAAATACTACATGTACACGTATACATGTATGTAGTATCACTTTTGGGGATATGTTAAATTAACCCTCCTTTAGTTTTACAGCACAAATATGCACAAGTGCCCAAGGTCACTCTCTTGCATGTTGGTGCAGTGCACAACACGACACCGCTCTGCATCTTTGAGGTGTTTACCAAGTGACCCAAGGAGTGACTTCAGCATAGGAGGGTTAAGGAAAGAGTTCCATAATCCATATATATGGACAACACTTGTTTTTCCTGAAATACAATAACAACCATCAGAAAGTGAAAATTTGGCCGAGAAAATTTCGGAAGCAATTACTTAGAAAACACTTTTTTCGGACAAGTGCCGGTGCACTGTACACTGCACATGTACATGTACATACATCTAGTAACTGTACCGTACATGTACATGTATCTCGTACAGTGTAGTATACATAAGCCATTCAATGTATTCACAGCAGGTCAAACAGCTTTAGCCACAACACAAGAATTGTTACAACTTACATGTACATGTATACTTACTTTCTGTCTTCCAAGGCAGAGAAGCCATCGTTGTTGGTGATTAAATCTAACTTCATGATTTCTGCCATACATATAATAAACAGTACAGTCTTTGTAGATTTTCATTATCTTGGTGCCCCTGTTCAACCTACAAACTGTCTCTCTCTCTCTATCCTTCTGAACTTATCACACTGCAGTCCTGCACCGAGCGCTGGCTTCCTAGCACAGTGCAACCTCCATCGGAAAATCTTGTCCAGACATTGCACACTCTGAATTTCCGGACCACTAGCTCAACACTGCGGTGGCAAGAAACTTCAAACAAGAAGTTGGGAATACGTGTACATGTGAGTGAACACTCAGCACACTTCACTCGGTTCCATGCACATCCCACAATAGAACAACCCAGGTGAAGAGTGGTCATTTTTTGGGGGCCGTTCTATTGCACCAGCGTACTTTTTTTTTCTACACACACAAGTGCAGTTCGATAATGAAGTTAACATCGCACACAAACAATCCAGCTTGTCCTATTGATTGCTTAGGCTACTTAGCAGACTGTTACACAACGGTCCATTATTACGCCCGGAACCTCTGGTAAAAGTTGCATCTCTTTCATGGGGCTACCTAAACAGAGTGGAGGCCATCTGTATAGTAAAGGTGTTACAGATCAATGAAAACGTACTCTACATTGGGTTAAACCATGCATGGACTTCAGACGGAATGCACTGTTTACATGTACATATGTACAATGTGCATGCAAGTTGGAATGCAGAGATGTACATGTATGTACACAATAGGAGAATCAGTGGGTATTTTAATCACTGAACATACCAGTAACTGTCTTAGTGTTTTTTTTTCTTTTTGAAAGGGATGAATGTAAAGAGCCATATTGACAATGCAAGTGTGATGGATGTACATATGTACGTGTACATGAACCAATTGAGTGACACTGATTGTTTCACTAATTAAAGCTGAGTTGGTTTACATGTGATATTCAGTTAATCGACCTTTCATCGACCAAATATTCAATACCAGGCAAATGTGTGTGGAATACAGATTAACCCTAACTCCCTAGGGTGTGTGCAAAATCATATTAAAATTGGAGGATTTAGGACTGTTAGGGTTAATCCAGAACATCAGTGTCTTATACACCACTCGGCTGAAGGCAGAGTGGTATATGAATTAAGTACAAGTTACATAGAAGCGTTACATTAATTATTCCATGTTCCGTAAGTATATGCAAGATAACAAATTTATTTTCATCTTCGAGCAAACTTGACGTTCAGTAAATATGGAATATGATATCACACTGTTTGTTGCCATGGATCGACCAATCAGAACTGAGGATTCAAGTTTGCTTGAATATACATGTACATATAGATGGTTATTCCAACAAAAGTCTCAACAAAACATACATGTACACATACAGTACATGTACATACATGTACAATGTACATGTATTCAGCTGACAGACCAGTTGGTCAATAGACTGCCAAATCTGTACATACATACACGTGTATGTATTTGGTGGTTTGTTTTGTGTTACATGTAAGTTGAAGGAGGAAGCTAGGAGTTTGATGTTGCGTTGGTCCAAGCGAGGTTCCTTTTTGACAAAAAGTCAAAAAGGAGAAGGAATGGAAGGACAGTGCAGTATACACTGTTTGAATGGTCACATTTTGGTCTTACTTTTGGGTATGTACATGTACAATTCTAATGAACTCTAGACATCATGAAATAAACCTTAAGAAAGCAATTTTGTAACCAAACAATTAATTTGTTCCTTAAAATTTCATTTGTTGGGCCTCCAATTTACTAATCTTGAAAAAATCATGGGAATATCTTTTAATTGTGGTGTGATCAGTATGCGCTCTACTGGTATCTTTAGGAAAATTTTCCTTTTCTAAATTATGAGGCCTACCCCTACCGAGACCAGAGTCCCATACAAACGAGTACATGTACATGCACATGTGGTACATATCTGTACTATATAGCCCCCTTCATCACATCCATAATTTTTTCATTCGTCATTTATGTGAAAACCAGTGAAACTTTTCCACTATACATAGTGGGTTAATTACATGCACATGTAGTTGGTGAGATTAGAGACCCGGCGACTACAAAGGGAAAGAATTCCATACGGATGCTGCTTGACACCCTGTGCACAAACCCTCAAGGACTTGAAGACTGGTCTGAAAAATTCTGTTTTCTATGTACATACCAGTCTAAAGGGTACATGTACATACATGTATGTACATGTATAAAGGTCTAATGGTGCATGTGCATACATGTATGTACATGTATACCAGTCTAATAGGTGCATGTGCATACATGTATGTACATGTATACCAGTCTAATAGGTACATGTACATGTGCATACATGTATGTACATGTATACCAGTCTAATAGGTACATGTACATGTGCATACATGTATGTACATGTACGTACTGAAACTGCAGGGAGAAATTAGCTGCATCCTTACAGGGACATGGGATTTTGTCTTCATATAGAGTCATGGACGTTTTAGCTTAGGCTGCTTTTTGGAGAGGATCTGTGTAAGAAAGTTGAACTCCAGATTTGTAAGTAATCTGTATCAAATTCAACTATCCAAGATAATGTCCAAATTGGGTTCAAATCCCACGTTAGGACAAGCCCTGAATGAAAGCGCTAACAGTATGAATATGATAAGTCGGACCTTGGAATAAGTATGAGTATGATAACCTCCTACCACACGGCTATGCTAGACATAGTCCAAGTTACTTGGACCCTACAAATCCCCTCTTTAAACATTCGAACAGTACGGTCAGGTGATAGTACACGTACATGTACATGTACATGTATGAGCTCATAGCTCAGGCCCAACTATGTACAAATGTTTAGAAAGGCAATTCATAGGGTCCAAGTTACTTGGACTATGCCTCCGATGGATGGCATACATGTGTGAAAGGGTGCCTTCTACATCATAACATGTACATGTAGTTTCCACATGTGGAAACCACATTTTTTTTATGTGTGAAATAATCCTTAAAAATGTACATAATTCCCCAAGAATTACGGCCATCTCATTAAGCCTGAAATATTTTATTCACACGTAAGAAATTCTACGTAAGAAATTTGAGAAAATGAAGCCAATGTAATTAAGTCCTTCATTATCACCTGTAGTTACCCTGAAGGATAAATGTTCAGTTGATAAAAGTCTATTACTATGGAGATTGGGGCATGCCTTAAGCAGTTTTTCAGCGCAGAAGTTCTTATTTGACTCTGAAAAAATCAGGCAATTTCGTAGTTAAAATGTGTAAGCTTTGGTCATTTCAGCAGTGAAATCAAAAGTTGCAACATTTTCATACTTTTTCATATTTTAAAAATAATCTTAAGGCCCTAAGTTATTGATAACATGGGCGACAATTGTCAACTCAGGGCTCATTGGCAATGCAAAACACAAAATTTCCGATGATGCGATAACACGTTAGGCATTTGCATCCATAAGGCATGTTAGGGGCCGTCCATAAAGTACATACGTGTATGATTCTACCTCCATGTACATGTACATGTATGTACCAAGGATGGAGGGGAGGTTGATGTCGTTGCGTACACCATACATACAGAGGTAGAGGGGGGGGTTCAAGCCAGTGCACTCCTTACACAAACCGAAAATTTGCCTTCAATGAATCTTCATCATATCAATACACATTCTCGTAGAAACACCAACCAGAATCACCCCATCATTTAATATTTATCCTTACATGCCAAAGCACACTAATAGTAAACCACAACATTACTCATGACACAAAGACCGGCAGCGTCTTCCGGAACTATATGAATGTGTATCATGTGTATGCATACCGGGGGGGGGGGGAAGCCACTGCATACGCCATACGCACAGGGGGAGGGGGGTCTGAAAAGTTGGCATTTTGTGCGTACGTTCTTTAAAGACGGCCTAATACTAGGCATTACCGCAATGTTAGAACCAAGTTACAACAACATGTTGACAGCTATCCCATCAGCCCATCCACCATTGTCCACTGATCAGTGCTGATCGAGTCCGAGTAACTTGAAGTTGGATGCTACAAATCACCTTTTTTTTAACATCTGGACATGGTCGGTATGGTCAGGCGAGGGTCCAACATTTCCAAGTACCTTCCACCATGCACCATGATGTTCATACACTTTTGTTTCCTCTTGCTCGTACGCCGACATGCCCAAGTCAAAATCCTCTGAATTCACCTCTAAAACTGTCCCTAAAATTTCTAATGCGCCCGTCTATGGATTAAGTGAGAATCGAAGACTGTCCAAATGTTTAAAAAGGCGATTTGTAAATTGTAAGGTCCAAGTTACTCGGCCTCGGATCACCGCCGATCAGATTCCGTTCACCATGTTCATCATTAAAATAATTGGCTTAGCAGATTTAACCAATTTTAAGTTCAGTTACTTACATCTTATCTTCTTCCATTTCGTAGTCCATTATAAAGTCCTTCTTTAGCACTTGAGAATGAAAGGAAATATAAGACTTCGTAGATTTCTAGGCCCAATTTCCAGTATGTCAGTGTTACACAGCGCAATTGATTACGCGTAAAGGTGATGAAGGTAAACGATATCCGCCATGTTGAAAAGTGAGCCCTCTACAGAGCAATATCTGCTCTGAGTACAGACACGAAGTCATCCGGGAAAAGACATCGAAGGCAAACATTCTCTGCCTGGTCAAAAACACCTCGTTCAGAAAAACAAGTAAAATATGGTACTTGTTTATACTTTCAAAACTACATTCAAAATGCTTTATTGGGAACCCAACTGTTTTCTGCCTAGTCAAGATTATTTATAATAAATACATCGCTCTCCCTAAATCTCAGCAAATTAGTGCACAATAAGACGGTACAAAGGATTCCATTTATATCGATATGATGGGGTCCTGTGCGGTGGCGTATAGACCTATCTAGCGGGGGGAGGGAGATGTGTTGCTATTTTTTTTCAATTAAGAGCTTTTACACTTCAGAAACGGTACAACAACATCTCTTGAGGATTCGTTCACGGTTATCTTCCAGACTCTGCTGGGGAGGGGAAAGTGGAAATAGAAATGCCCCTCATCACCCAGTGGCGTACCCAGCTGGGGTGGGGGCAGGGGGCAACCTGCCAACTATAGGTAGATAAATCGTTGAAATATGCAGCTGCTTTGGAATCCAAACAAACTTTCTGAAGTCATTTGTCTAACTGCTCTTTTGTCCATTATTTGATGTCAGAGCTCCTAAGATATATTAATTACGCCTGGAACTTGAGAAGAAAGTACCATAATTACAACCCATCCCCATCTGAGAACTATCGCCCTGGTTTCCCTGTTGCTCCCTACAGAACCATAATCCATTCAGATCCATCCACTCACCAAACTCGACAAAGCAAACTGAGCTCTTTATTCCCTTGTCAACAGATTGATTAAAAATGATAAAATCCTGGATTGTTTCAATATGTAACCAGATCCTGCAAAATTGAGTCCCAAGGCCACTGTGCAATTTGAAAGAGCAAAACAAAATAAAATGTATAAAGTAATGCCCTATATAATTTATGAAAAGCTTGAAGGTGAGTATTTCGAGAGTAAATTTTGAAAGTGTGCAAAGAAACTGGTTTTCTTCGTGAGGACTAATGCAGTGCTGACG